GTTTGGGGGTTTAGGGCTTTGGGTTCGGGGTTTGGGGTTTGGGTTTTTGGGGTTTAGGGCTAAGGGTGAAGGGGTTTAGGGTTTAGGGCTTTGGGTTCGGGGTTTGGGATGTAGGGTTTGAAAGGGTTTGGGGTTTAGGGCTTAGGGCTTTAGCCTTAGGGTTTGGCGTTTTAGGGCTTAGGGTTTAGGGGTTTAGGGTTTAGGGCTTAGGGGTTTAGGGGTTTAGGGTTTGGGTTTTTGGGGTTCAGGGCTTAGGGTGAAGGGGTTTAGGGTTTGGGGTTGAGGGTTTAGGGCTTGGGGTTTGGGGTTTAGGGGGTTAGGGCTTAGGTTTTAGGATTTAGGGCTTAGGGTTGAGGGCTTAGGGTTTAGGGTTTAGCTGTTTGGGTTCGGGGTTGCAAAGGGACTTCGAAGAGGCATTCAGATCCCCTGAAACTGCAAGAGTTGTTGAGAAGCCCGAGCCTGAACTAACGAGAACTATTGAATTTAGAGCCTAGAAGAGGCGTTCATTACCCTGAACCTGAGGCTGGTTTTTCTTGTAGTGGGGTTTATAAGTTCGAAGGTTTAGAGCTCGTTCACAAGAATCCAGCATGACCCTAGCCGCCTAAATTGCGGGAATTGTAGTAGTGCAGTATAGTTTACCATATAGTATATAGTTCAGTATAGTGTGCTCAGGTTCATGGAGGCTTTTGTCCCTGAATAGTAGCTGACGTTGCCCCGTGCGTGGAGGTTTCAGGATTGTTGAAGGTTCGGTTCAGCTCCTGAAGACAAGCGTATCGTTGAGACAAGCCTGCAATCCTAAATCGCCTGCTGCGTCTCTCGGAATGCGAGGCACCCTGTCATTGAGACACACCCGTAACCCTGAACCGTCAATCATATCGCGCCAAACCATCCACCTCAAACCTTTGTTTCAGCATTGTAGGTCATCTTCCCGTCTACGCGAAAAGAGACTGGCCAGCATTTTTCGCCTCCTCGAGAAGAGAGAAAAGGGGAATATCTTGTCTGGGGATCTGGTCCAGTTTGCAGGTGGTGTACTACAGGGATTTCGGGTTTAGGGAGTGCGGAGTTCAGTGACATTTTATATCAGCTATAGTTTCAATTCCTGGTATCTCCCCTAATTGCCCCTACAATGCTCCCCTATAGAGTTCCCTACACAACCCCCCTTTGCGGAGTTTAGACGATATTGTATATAGGTACCCTAAACCCTAAACATCTCAGGGTTTTGGAGCTCCTCATACCCCAGTGAGGATCTAGAACTAGAGGTACCCACAAACGACCCATGAACATCCATGTATAATACTGGGTTTAGGGCTAATATATCCATATATGGGAGTTTCGATTGGGGGTACCATATATAGTTATATTGTAATCCCCTCGCATAATCTACGGGATCTGACTGTTAGATTGTTTTAGGGGTCTTTTTCGCCCCTCAACCCTGAACTCGAAGGGTTTGGGCTATGATTGTTGGATTGTTTTGGGGGTCCTTCTAGCCCCTAAACCCTAAACCCTGAGCCCTCAACCCTAGATCCTAAACCCAGAGGGTTTGGGTTAGGACAAGCTCCACTTGCACTTCCACATCCCTTCGCTGGGACTCGGCCCCGCGGGAGCTGAGGGGTTGGGTTTTGGTGTTGAGAATTGAGAGTTTAGGGTTTAGATTTAGGGTTTAGGGGTCTAGGGTTGAAGGCTGGGGTTTTGGTTGAGAGTTTCGGGTTGAGGGGTTAGGGTTCACGGTTGAGAGTTTAGGGTTCAGAGTTTAGGGTTTGCTCAGGGTTTTGGGTCGAGAGTTTGTCGAGTTTTATGTTGACTTTAATAAAGTTTGGGTTCCATGGTCTGGTTTTGCCCTAGCACTCCAAAGAGGCCAAAGTAGGTGCTGGCTATGGACTTCATGCAGGGCTGAATGGATTTAGTGCTTTGGAATACAAGATTTTTCAGGCTTAGGGTTGAGGGTTTAGGTTGCTGGTAGGTTGAGAGTTTAGGGTATAGGAACCCAGGAAGTTCTGGACCCAGCGACCGAGCCTTCCGAAGGAAGGAAACCAACCAAAAAGACACAAGTGGAACAAGTTGGTTGAGAGGACAGGGCCTACCTAGTGGTGCTGAAGGGGGAGTGGAGAAGTCAATATAGGTACCATTACAGCGGTATTTACGGGGGATTGCAGAGGGATGATTATAGAGATCCATTCGCCCACTCTGCCTTAAGCCACCAGAAAGCCTAGAGCAATAGGTTTCGATGTCAAAGAAGGGCACTACCTGGACCCCAAGAGTATGTAAAATAATGGCCTTTATGGCTGTTAATATGGGTTTAGGGCTATTATTTTACATACTTTTGGGGTTTAGGTAACTAAAATATTTCACCCCTGAACCTATAAAGACCACAGTCCACAAGAGTTTATATGGCGTGTCATGTTTGGTCAGGGGGGTCAGGCTCATCAGGCATCAGTGCCTGAAGCTTGGGGCCCTCTCCCCACAGCACTTAATGGGTTAGGGTTCAGGGTTTAGAGTGTTTTTGTGAAGCGCATGCAGGGAGACCTAGGAGTTCCGTTGAGTGTGGGGTGTCACTTTGGGAGACCATAGATCATACGTGCACCTAACCTACATGAGCTATAGTCTAGACTCCGTACAAGGGGGTTATATACGGGATTCTCTAGAGGACGACTATAGGGATTATTAAGGGGGATGCGAGGAGTTTAGACTATGGCTCACATGAGATGCAGTCGAAACGCCTCACTTGCACAGGGCGACTGCTTTGCGAGCTCAGGGTTTAGGGTGCTTGGTTGAGGGCTTGGGATTTGACATGTAAAGCCTACGCAGTGTTTGTGGCATCCTTTTAGTAAGTCCTGCCTGTGCCAGCCCTGCTTCCCAGGGAGCCCAATAATTACCCGCTAATGAAGGAATATGGCTGTGTGAATCAAAAGCACTGGGTTTGTAACCGGCTTGCGCGGCCATTCCCACGAGATAGATTTGTAAAAAAACCTGACCTGCAACCAGCACCGTTGCGACGAGGTTATTTTGTGTGGCATACCTGCGCCAAGCGTTTGCGACGAAGGTATGTAACAACAGTCCGCGACAAAGCGGCATGTAACAGGCGGTTGCGGGTGGGCATCGTGACAACCGGGGTCTTGAATCATAGCCATCTGCCTTACATCGTATGAAGGGTCTTAGCACAGTTTAAGGTATATTCTTTGATTAAGCTCTATTGGCCTCTGGGTTCCTTCAGTCCTACAGCCCGCGGTCGTGAGGTACCCCTGGCGAACTGGATCCGCTCCTTGCCGAGCAGCCGGAAACAGCGTGAGAGAAAGAGCTGTTCCCTGGGGATCCAACAATACCTACAGTTTAGGGTTTAGGGTCTAGGGTACCTACACTGGGCCCTTGTGTGTGTGTGTGTATGTGCGCATAAGGTGTTCGTCATAGCCAAAAGTCTCTACGGAGAGTAACTGAAGAGAGTATACGACATTTTGTAGGGATATGCACGCGAAACTACAAATTTATACGTGTAGCATATAGGCCGTAATGCAAGGTTGGTGATTAGGCTTTAAGCCTCTAACCTTCAACACGAAACCCGAAGAGGTCCACAGGCAGCGTTTTGACCAGCGCCTTCATACCCTAGAGTCTAGTATAATACAAAGAGAATCCTAAACTTAATTAATGTCATCGCCTAGGAGGTATTGCTGTGACAAGTCTGATCGCAATTCATAGGGTACTCCTTCCACCTTATAAACTTAGACCCCTGGGACATAATTGGATGGAGAGTCCAGGACTGCTGTCAGAAAAATCGATTCCCCGTACACGAGGATCCGGACCCCCAATGGGCAAAACAACTCGCCATGCTCTTGGGGTTTTAGGGCTTAGGGTTAAGGGTTTTAGGGTTTAGGGTTTGGGGTTTAGTGTTTGAGGGTTTAGGGTCTGTCTTTCATAAATTCCACACCACCACCAAAGTCTGAGCCGTGTCAGCCCATTCAGCATTTATGGGCACCTAAACCCTAAACCTTCCGTATAGGTATCCCACATCAAAAGTGAATACCGAAGCTTCACACCACAGTACTGGCGAATATTATGGTTCTAGATTCCTTGCAAAATTCTGAGACAGGATACCTCAAATGACTCGAATAGACTTCATTCACAAAGATATCCGTAATTCTGGCCCTGATAGTATTGGGATTAAATCCACATGTCGCGCCTTTTTCTCGTTCTGGCTCCAGAAGCACGGCCCTCGTTCAGCCGTGCTGTGAAAGCTATGTTCTAGGCCCGCTGTCCACGGGGAGCAGTAGTTTTGTTGAGCAAGAGGCGTAAACTCTGCAGTTCTGGTTCTTCGGTTGTTTTTCAAGCTTCTGAACGCTGCTACTACTGCTGCTACTACTGCTGCTACTACTGCTGCTACTACTACTCCTACTACTACTGCTAATGCTACTGCTACTGCTACTACCACTACTACCACCACCACCTTTAAAGTTACAACATGTTACAACTATTGTACAGTATGGCCAGCCCGGTACCCGAGTGTTGCCCGCACTGCACTAAGTCGCAGCATAAGAATGATGCTAAAAGCCCTATCTAAGGGCCAAACTTATCCAGACGGCCGAAGACTCCGCAATTAAGGCATATACCCTACAGTAAGTGATAGCAGGATGCCTCATGGGGCTTACGGCCGCTGAACGCTGAACCCAAAATCCTAAGCCCTACACCCTAAACCCTAAAGTATATTCCTAGCATAAGGACATCAAGGCGGAATACGATCCTGTCGTGCGGACCTTTCCCCTGAATTTCCATTCCCTGAACGGATTAAGGTTATGTCAGGCTTATATCGGGGATATATATATATATATTGGGATAATGGAAAACACAACGGAAACTACTATTTAGGGTTCAGGTTTTAGGGTCCACCTTTTCTGGGTTAGGCTCTCTTTTTTTTTTGTGCAATACATACTCCTAAAACTGAAGGTTCCATTGGGTTCAGGTAAGCCCTATCTGAAACTGAAACCTTGCTCTCTAAAGCCAGCATCCTACATATAGAAAACAACCTTCATTACCATCTCCTTACTCGAAGGTTCGTGGCGCACCCAGCACCTACCCTTCCCCCACTCTTATGGTTCAGGGGATACTAAGTCTACTCACTCCAGAAAAAGAGGTCATTTCTCCTGGTGTATACAGGGCAATGGAAATGAAACTGGGAAAAGGCTTAGGGCCAACAGTAACCCCCCTTTCCTCCTAGGAGCCGTTATTCATGCTATATGAGCTATAGTCTAAACTCCTTAAAGGGGGTTATATAGGGGATTATATGGGGGAGTATTATAGGGTTTATTAAGGGGGATACTAGGAGTTTAGACTATGGCTCATATGAGGGTGAATACAAAAATTTCGGTGGGGTGGGGGGGGGCTCATTACTACCAAGAGGGGATTAAAGCTGTTGCCCTGCACGCTTACCTTCAATCATGCTCATTCCTAATGTACCCAGCCATTGGGTATTTGGGAATTGGGGCAAGGGTTCTTGAAGTGCAAGCTGGGGGGGGGTGTATATGATTATTAGGTATTTGTATGTACCAGTATAGCAAATCTGAACATGGTCTAAGCCTGCAAGTTTGGAGGTGTATATGATTCCAAGACATTTCTGTATTACGAATCTGGTCTAAGCCTCTACTGCTCCCTGCGGCATCTCCATGGCGAATTAGCGGCTAGCTCGCAGCCGCAGCTTCGAATGCATTTTCACAAACCCTAAGGGTTCAAGTACCTAAGAATCATATACTTACCCAGAACCTGTACTATAATTACTATTACCCAAAACCCAAGTACCTAATTATTGGGTACATGGACCCTTTGGGCACTGTGCCAGCCCCTACCCCTAAACCGAAAACCGTGAGGCCTGCTGGAGTCTCGTTGAGGTTGCTCGTTTAAGTTTTATAGGGATATACGTGAGTGTTAGTTGAGATCGCTTAACATCACTGATTACCATTTAGTCACCTCCCTGTAATGCTGACCCTCACCCCCCTATAAGAAGCCTTCCCATTTTACATGTGTGTCACTGTGTATACATATATATACTGGTACTAGGGTAGGGGTGGGGGGGTTGCTATTTGGGTGGGGGTTTAGGCGGAGGAGACTGGAGGCCCCGGTAGTCGAGCCTCTTGGGATTCTCTACATCTTCACTCGTGTTCGTGCCCTAAACCCTGTATGACTTATAAGGGTTTGGGGTTTAGGGTTCCAGCAAGGGAAGAGCCCAAGTTGCGACAAGATAATATCCCATAGCCTCTGAGTGTACAACTAACATTAGTTTCGTAGCATTCCTGTGTGAGACATCCCCATGTGAGCAATGGTCTAAACTCCTAGTATCCCCCTTAATAAGCCCGAAAGTACTCCCCTATCTAATCCCTGTATACCCCCTTTAAGGAGTTTAGAAAATGGCTCATGTAAGCCCAGCCAGTTCATGACAACAAAGACGGCCCGAACCTACACCTCAAACCCCAAAACCTCAGCCTTAACCGCGGACCCCAAACCCCACAATCTGACCCCATAAGCCCCAAAGCCCAAGCCCCAAACCCCAAACCCTAAACCCTAAACCCTAATCTGCGGCGTTAGAGCTGGCTGCGCCCTCTTGACGCGATGCTTCCGCCGAAGTGGGATGATTTTGCAAATCCGTTCTTCGGCTTTACAGGGGGGGCTGAAAAAAGGGAAAAGAGTTTTGGTTTAGGGGTTTGTAGGTTTGGCGATTTGGGCTTCGGGGAGTTAAGTATCCATCGGGGAGCTCGCCTGGTCACCCAGTACGTGCCAAATCAGGTGCTACATAAATGCTTGGACCTGGCTGAGCTAGGTTTGGATTTAAGTGAGCTTGAGGGTTTGGGGGTACTGGGGTTTCGGGTTCAGGGTTTAAGGGTTAGGGTTCAGGGTTTGGGGTTATGAGGTTTGATTTGGGACCCGGGGTTCAGGATGCAGGCTTCAGAGGGGCTAGAGTTCTCGCGAGGGCCTTGGATCTGTTCAGGGGCTGGAGTTGTTGTACACCTCAAGGCTCAAGGTCTTCATATCATGGGTTTCCTTACTACCCCCCTCTATACTACCCTTAGGTTCCGCCTGACTTAATGTTATTTAGGGATAGCTAAGCTTACTTAAGGTATATTAAGGTACAGGGGCTGCTGAGGATAGGGATGCCCCTTGTGAACGCCCAAAATACCTTTATCCTGACTAGAAGAACCTCCAAAACTGAAACCCCCATTTTCTTGAAACTGCTAGGCAGAGCTCTACAGTATAACCCCTAAGCCCCAAAACTCTGTAGGTATATGCTCCTCTACATCCCCCACCTTCCCGTTGAAGGGCTCTACAAAAAACCCAGAAGCCCTAAACCCCCTAAACCCTAAACCCTTAAACCTAAACCCTAAACCTCAAACCTAAATCCTAAACCCTTAAACCCCTAAACCCTAAACCCCCGAAACCCTAAACCCTTAAACCTAAACCCTAAACCCCCCAAACCCCCTAAACCCTAAGCCCTTAAACCAAAACCCCCTAAACCCTAAACCCTCAAACCTAAATCCTAAACCCTTAAACCGAAACCCTAAACCCCGAAACCTAAACCCTAAACCCTTAAGCCTAAACCCTTAAACCTAAACCCTAAACCCTTAAACCTAAATCCTAAGCCCTTAAGCCTAAACCCTAAACCCCCTAAACCCTAAACCCTTAAACCTAAATCTTAAACCCTTAAACCTAAACCCTAAACCCCGAACCCTAAACCCTAAACCATAAACTCTGAACCCTGAACCCTGAACCCTAAGCCCCAAGCCTAAACCGGCAAAGGGCTTCCGATTCAGAGTTGCAAGCCTGAATGTGCC